TTTTGAAAAAGCCTTCCTTGAGTAGCTTTTTCTGCACAGCTCAACATTTCTGCCCATTCTGAACACAGTCCAGCCATCAGAATCATGCTGGGACAACTTGCTGTGGCACGCTTGTCATCGGTTTGCCACCACTGCTCTATACTTTTTGGCACCAGGCTCAAACCATTTCCTCAATATTTGATTGCTGAAAATTCATGGCTTTAGTATTATTGCTATAGTTTTGAATATCACTGTAATTATGTCCTGGTTTTCATTTTGGATTTGATGCTTGGTTATTTTTATATCTTGGAAACCTTCCGGAGCCCAAGGCTAAGGGACAGTACAAACGAGGTCGGAAGAAATGGCTAAGCCAACACGGTAGGTTGCAGAGCACACCGGCCTCAGCAGGAAGGCCCAGTCAGTAGCCGGGGAGAGTGCCGGGGCCGTGTGGTGGGGGCTTCAGCGGAGGTCCTGCAGCTGGTGGGGGAGCCACTGCCCACGGGGAGGCCTCCCCCAGCTGGGGCGGCTTTTTAAGGCACCCTTTGAAGTGCTGAGCGCTGCGGACACCACGGGGTGCCGTGGAGTGCCGGGCGTCTTCCGTCAAGCCCCTGCTGCAGGCACCCAAGAGCGCTGCGGCTGTGCAGGCAGCGAAGACCCGAAGGCCATGCGTGGGCCGCACGCTGGAGCCGGCTGCCACAGCTGCACGCGGCTTCTCTGGCCGGCCGACGGCGAGCCTGGTGGGGAGCAGAAGGCATCGCCTTGGAGGACCACGGGTTTTGTGTAGGTCACAAACTGAAACCGGATGAGCATGGATAATTCCAGATGTGGGATCCAGTAATGGACCGTGTGTTGCTGCATAAACGATATCCTGCTGGTTTCAACACGACTGACTGGGTTATTGCCCGTGAGCTGCAGCGAACTAGAAGCAGCGCAGGCTCTGCTTCTGGCCTTGCAGCCACCAAGGCAGAGTGCGATTCGCCCCCCAGCCAGACTGGACAGGGCGTGGAGGGGCCCGCTCTGCATGCACGGTCGGAAGTCTGGCTGGCAGGGGGATGGAGCCCACTGGAGAGCAGCGGTCCCACTTCCCTGACGCTGAGCACGCAGCTTGGGATGCGCACAGGGGCACTTTACATTCTGACCAGTTCAGGGTAAATTCTTTAAATCTGCAGCAGGCTGTGATTAATCCCCATTACACGAGTCCAAGAGTGTCCCGGGACTGGGGGTGGGGCTCGCGAAAATTGCCCCTCCCGCTTTGCCAGTCGCGGGGGGACGTCCCGACGCCTCACCCGGCGTCCCCCTCCTCTGCTCCCCAGGATGCTCCAGGCTCGGTGCTCCGGAGCACTGGCCTGAAGGTGGTGCAGCCAGCGAGCGAGCGGCGCTCCCCCTCCTCGGCTGGGCAGCATTTCTCCCTACTGCAAACAAGGAAGGGCACGATGAAGGGAGGAGCGGCCGAGCTGCATCGTGACCAGGTCCCTGGTGACACCCCATAATCACAAAGCACGCTCCACCCCACAGGTGGCCACGCACAGGCCTTGCCTCGCTCGCTCGCCCCTCCCGTCCCCCATGCGCTGGCTTGAGCACGGGAGGGAGCAAGCGCCTCACGTTACGCGCATCCCCGAATAGCCGCCGGAGCCGCTGACTGCATGGCTCCCTGTGGGGAGCGGGGCCGGCTGCCCCAGATGGAGCACCTGGCCTGGATGCCCCCGCCCGCCTGTTCTGTGGCCGTGGCCCCCATTCGGTGGGTGGGAGGAAAGGAGCACGTGCCGTGGGGGGGCGGGAGCACACAGCCAGCCCCTCGTGCGCTTCTTGCCGCCAGGACGGCCAGCCGAGGTTTCACAGGGCCTTGGGGCTCCCCAAGGCACGGGGCAAGCGCCCTGCTGGCCAGGTGGCCGTGCTCCTGGGCCGCATCCCGCCCTGCGACACGGCACGGGCTGGCGTCGGCTTGCCTCTTCCTCCCTTTGCTGCCCGGCGTGCAGCTCCCAAGGACATGCTCCCACACACACGGAACGCAAGACGCCGTCAATGAAGCAGCACTGAAATGCCGTGCAAGGAGCCTGAAGTAGATAAAGCAGTTCGTGGTCTAAAAATTCCTCACAGAGAGCAGAATAAAATCGGGCAGCTGGAAAAATCAAGACTCCAAAAGAGGGGTTGAAGGCCCGCTCCGCAAGGCCGGCCCCCAGGCAGCCACGTGGCTGGGGGGGCAGGGCAGGGCAGGGCAGGCCGGCCACAGCGCCCCTCCCCGAGACGGCTATTTATAGTGCCCCTACCTGGCAGCGAGGGGCGATTGGCCGGCAGCTGCGGCACGGAGGACAACAGCCGGCAGGGCCCCGGCCACCGGCACGGGGCTGTCCGCAGCACCCACTCCACTCGGCCAGCCGCCCGGGGCTCTCCGGCACCTTTGCTCCGGCCCTGCCAAGTGGCGTCGAGCACCAAAGAGGGTAGCCGGCTGTGCCCCGACCCCAGAAGAGGCCGAGGCCCACAGCCCCGTGGCAGCAAGCCCGGGGTGCTCTCAGCCCCACAGTGTTGTGCAGCCGTGCCGCTCTCTCCTTGGCAGGCGTCCCTGCCAGCACACGGCTCCCGCCTGCTCCCTGCCCGGCCCCGTAGGGAGAGAGAGGCTCCGAAGACCTCCAGGCAGGCCGCCCACCACACAGCACCGGCAAGCGGGGGCAAGTCCGTTTGGGAAATGCAGCTCCCAAGTCTGCCAGCCAGCCAAAGTGCTCCCCCACCCGATGCGGAGCTTGCGCACAATGCGGCGGGGAAGGCGGGTGCTGGGGTAGCGGTGGGGACCGCCCCAGCCAGTCAGCGCACAAACCTCCCCGGGGCTTGGCCCATCCTGCTCAGCTGCTCCGGACAGGACGCCGAGGGGGCGTCTGGCCTAACCTGGCTCGGCTCTCCCCAGGCTTTCCCTCCCGCCCCCAGAGGGGAACGGGCGTTTGCAGGTTCACGCACTTCTTGCAGGATTCCCTCCTCCACAGCCGGCCGGGGGCTGGAGGACAGGTGTCCTCGTCCTCTGAGTGTGGGTGGGAGGGGCGAAGTCCCCCTGAAGCGCTCCGGGGGCTCGCCGGCCACCCGCTCGGCTCCACCAGCCGGGCTGCTCCATTTGGCATCGCCTGTGTACTTTCACACTACGGAGATGTGGCCGGCAGAGGCTTGGCTGGCGGTGGGGGAGACAACGCGCCATCAATGCAGCTCTCCCATCCGCCCAGTTTCATGCCGCTGGGCAAAGCAGGGGCATGTTTTCCAACAAATAGTCATGCTCTCGGTTACGTGCAATCCATGTGGGCACCATGCCCCCCCTCTGCTCAGTCCATGCTCCGGTCGCCCCGCACACGGCCCGGCGTGGGACGGGGAGCAGGTGTGCAAACGGTGCCCCGGCCCGCCAGGCTCGCCCACCACGGTTCTGGGCTCCTCTCCCGCAAGCGAATGCGGCGGCCCCTCCGGGCCCCTCCGGGCGCTTGGCAAGCCCACGTGCCTCAGCCAGGGCAGACGCACAGACGGGAAGCGAGGCTCTGCTGGGGCCCGGGGCGTACGGTACGGAGTCTCTCAGCATGGCTGTTCCTCCCCCGAGACGGCAGCATTCACTGGCTGCCTCTGGCCATGTTTTTGGACAGCTCTGCTCGCCCACCTGGGATCCCCCGGCCGTTCAGAGGCAGACCTCACGGGCGCGGTGGACGTGAGCGCCTCTGCCTGCAGAAATGCCATTTTGTGTGGCTGGGGGCGCTCTCACGAAGCTTCGGTTTGGCAAACTGGAACCCTACGACTGTTCCCGTCTGTTCCAAGACACCCCCTTAGGACACCCCCTAGAACAGGGGTGGGCAACTTGGGGGGGTCTTAGGGCCAATTTCTGCCACCACTCACTGCCCGATTCAGGGGTGCAGCGGCAGCAAGATACCTGGGGCTTTGCTGCCAAATGTCACGGCAAGCCACTATCCGACCCTTCCAGGGCTCTGTGGAGACCTGCCCCTGAATTCATGCAGGAGAGACGTGGGCCTCCCAGTTGTGGAGGATGGGGGCTCCGCGCAGTGGGGGGCTGCTACTGTTCAGAAGAGCTTTCCCACCATCCGTGACCTTTCCCTCGAGAACCAGAGACGAGCCCGCGCTGCATTTTTGCGGTATCTGCAGATGGGCATTGCATGCAAGAGAAACAGGCGCGCTTATCGGCACCGCAGCGCCAGCTCCCTGAAGCGCCTCTCCAAAGGCCCCTCCGGCCAACTCAGGGCGGCTCACACACCAGCCTTCTCCTGGCTCCCGCAGCCTCCCTCCGAGGCGTTCGCTTGAGGGGCCGCCCGTGAGGCAGGGCAGCTCGTCAGCTGTGGCCACCGGGCACGAGGGACGCCAGTCCGGCGCCTTGCCAGGAAGCCCTTGCATGCAGGGCGTTTGACATGCCCAGAGCAATGGCCTTCGAAGGCGAGAGCAATTGCCCATGGCCTGCATTCCCACATCCTGTTTCTGCCCCCTCGGGATCTCATTCCCCAAGCGGCCAACAGCAAAGCCCGCCGATTCCGCGCGCCCTTGCGCACCACCTTATTCACAAAGAGAAGCCGCGCAAAGCCTGCCCCGCCGCAGCCGCCCCCAAGAGGCGCCTCTGCGCTCAGCCTCGCCCCCCGGCACTCCTGCCACCGCCCCCACTGGTTCAGGCACCCGTTTCAGCCCCTGCAGGGACGACGCAGTGCCCCCCGGTGCCCCCGCACGCTCCTGGGCTGCTGTGAGACGGGCCCGACCCCCCCCAGCCCTGCTCCCCGGGGGCAAAGGACGGAGCGGCCTGCGCTGGTGCCACGCCGGCTCTTGCTCAGGCCAGGGCACGCTCAGCCCCCGCACTTGCAGCGGCCGGTGGGGCCTCGCCCCGTCTCTGCCCGGGGAACCTACCCGCCGGTAGACGTCCTCCCTGCTGGCTTCATACTTCTGCTGCATACGATCCTCCAGGAAGTAGATGCGCAGCTTGAGGCTGAAGTTCTCCTTTTTCAGGTCGCTGAGGTGCTGCGACAGAGCGCGGTGCCCGTTAGACATGGCCGGTGGTCCATGGGGTGGAACTCTCACACCCCCCTCATGGCAGTAACATCGTGCGGCTGCGGACGGAAGTGAAGCCCCCCGCACGGCTGCAGAGGGGCCGCCGGGGTGGCCTCCCGAGACATGGGGCCGGGCTCCGCGTTCTGGCCGCCAGCTGCCCTGTCGCTCTGCGGCCGCCGCTCTGCTCAGGGACAGAGTGCGGCTCACTTTCCTTTTTTACCCCGGGAGGCATTTGTGGAATCCCTGGCAAGAGGCTCCTCTTGCAGGGCACACATGGTGTCATCCGAGCTGGGCCGAGCCGGACAGAGCGGAGGGGGCGCCGCAGCCGCACTGTCCCCTCGTGGCCGCCCCCGTGGCGGCAGGAGGTCGGAGGCTCTGGGGAGGGCGAGCAGTGTGGCTGAGGCACGGTGTGACGGGGGGAGGGGGAGCCCTTCAACGCCCCCCAGGACCAGCCTGCACCTCAAGGAGGGAGAAGCTCCTCGCCTCACTCCCTTCCGCGGGCTTGGCAAGGGTTAAAACGTCCATGAAAGACCCCCACCTCATCCTAAGCAGCACCGGGGGGGGGGGGGACAGGCAGCCTGGAGGTCTGAAAAGCCGTGAGTGCCAGGCCATCCGGGAGCCTCTCCTGGCTGCCCCCACTTTGGTTCAGGCCTCACCCCGAAATACACGGCCAAGGTTCTGCCCGCCCCCCCGGTGTAGGGGCAGCGCCCTTTAGATTAAGGCAGGGCCACCCTGCTGGCCTCACGCTTTGGGGCTCACGGGCGAACAGGGGGGGCCCGGGCAAGGAGCGCCCCGAAGCGTGTGGTCTGCGCCTGCCAGCGGAGCCCAGCGCAAGGCGGGCCGGGACTGGGGCTGCTCTGGCCTGTGGGGCGAGGGAAGGCAGCAGGCAGGCCAGCAGCCCCTCCTGCAGCTGCCGCTTCCCGGGGCAGCTCCCCCCGGCCGCCTTCTCCTGGGGGCTCCCGTGCAGCCCGAGCAGCAAATGCCCGCTGGCTCTCCAGAGGGGAGACCACAATGGGGCCCCCGAGCGGTGGGGGGGGGAGCAAAGCCAATGCACCCCTCCTGTGACTTCGTGGAGGGAGCGAGGACAAGCACGCAGCAGGCCTGCCCGGTGGCGCGTTAGCTGAAGCGCACATGGATTAGATTCCTTGGCCAGCCTGGAAATAGCGGCCCTTCCTGACCACACACTGCAGCTGGAGCAGTGCGAAAACACCGTGCCTTCAACACCGTGCTTCTTCCTCGGGAAGGGTCTTTGCATTGCTTTTCCTCTTTTCTTTATCATGGAACCCCATAAAAACATATAAAACAAAAAGCATTAAGCATCTGAAAATACTTGCTGGTGGTGTAGAAAGGACTCCCCAGCCTTCAGTGCCTGGCATTCCGTTCATGGTAAGTATATTTCTCACACACCAGGAACTTGCAGGCACCCATCTTCCCCTGCCTCCTGCAACCTTGCTGACTGACTGACCCACATTTGGCACGATCTCTTGTGATATGTCTCTTGGGACAAGCATTCCCAGGGAGGCAGCAGACTCAAGCAATGCCTAAATTCCCAATTAGGAAACACACCTTGGGGTAATTATCTACAGCAGACAGAAGTTCCAACTTTGACCAGTTGATAGACAAGCCAACTGGAAGTCCACAATCATTATGTATCTACATCAAAGAGGGAACACACACAAGGAGTTCCAAAATAAACATTTGGCACTGAAAAGTTTATATTCAAACATGCTATGCACAACCCCATCAGTATTAGAATGTTGGTAAATCAAAAATCACTATGGAAAGAGGATATCCCTGCCTAGTGCAGGGAAAGTAAAATAAAAGAACACACAATCAAATAAAAAACCCTGAAAACCTGACAAGATCCCATTTGTTCTGAGATTTTAAGCCATTTCAGAAACACTGCAGGAAAAGTAAAATTTCTCGGTTCAGCAAAGATACCTGTGCAATATCGAAGGCCTTCGCACCCAGAGGGGTCACGGCAGCTGCACTGCTCTTGTTTAGTCCCTGTCCGATGAACGTCCCCACTGACAAGGGAAGGTGACCAGCACAGGTAAGCTCTTCATGGATCACTGCCTTGTCGTGGCAAAGGGGCTTGCGTAGCTCAGTGAAGCTCTGGGCTGTGCCGTGCGGGGCCACCCAAGACGGACAGGTCATAGCAGAGAGCTCTGGCAAAAGCTGATCCACTGGAGAAGGAAATGGCAACCCACTCCAGTACCCTTGCCATGGAAACCCCACGGACAGTACCAAAAGGCAGAAAGATATGATGCTGGAAGATGAGCCCCGCAGGTTGGAAGGTGTCCAATATGCTACTGAGGACTAGTACTAGTAGCGCCAGAAAGAATGAAGCGACTGGGTCAAAGCCGACAGGACACTCAGTTGCAGATGTATCTGGTGGTGAAAGGAGAGTCCGATGCTGCAAAGATCTATACTCCATAGGAAGCTGGAATGTAAGATCCATGAATCAAGGCAAGCTGAACGTGGTCAAAGAAGAGATGACAAGACTGAACTTCGACATCTTAGGAAACAGTGAACTAAAATGGACAGGAATGGGTGCATTTAATTCAGATGACCATCAGGTATACAACTGCAGGCAAGAATCCCTCAGAAGAAATGGAGCAGCCTTCATAGTCAGTAAAAGAGTAGGAAAAGCAGTACTAGGATACAGTCTCCAAAATGACAGAATGATCTCAGTTCGAATCCAAGGCGAACCATTCAGCATCACAGTAGTCCAAGTCTATGCCCCAACCACTGGTGCTGAAGAGGCTGAAGTTGACCGGTTCTGTGAAGGCCTAAAACACCTTCTAGAAATAACACCAAAAATGATGTCCGTATCATCCAGGGAGATTGGCATGCTAAAGTAGGAAGCCAAAAGATAACCGGAATAACAGGCAAGTTTGGCCTTGGGGTACAAAATGAAGCAGGGCACAGGCTGGTAGAATTTTGTCAAGAGAATACGATGGTCATAGCAAACACTCTTTTCCAACAACCCAAGAGACGACTCTACACATGGACATCACCAAGCGGTCAACACAGAAATCAGACTGACTATGTGCTCTGCAGCCAAAGATGGAGAAGCTCTATACAGTCAGTGAAAACTAGACCAGGAGCTGACTGTAAAATTTAGGCTAAAATTGAAGGAAGTAGGGAAAAGCACTAGGCCACTCAGGTATAACCTAAACCGTATCCCTGATGAATATACAGTAGAGATGACAAGGAATTAGATCTGATAGACAGAGTGCCTGAAGAACTATGGACAGAGGATTGCAACATTGTACAAGAGGTAGCAACTAAAACCATCCCAAAGAAAAAGAAATGCAAGAAAGCAAAATGGTTGTCTGAGGAAGCTTTACAAATAGCTGAGGAAAGAAGGGAAGGGAAAGGCAAGGGAGAAAGAAAAAGATACACCCAAATGAATGCAGAATTCCAGAGATCAGAAGAGATAAGAATGCCTTCTTAAATGAACAGGTGCAAAGAAACAGAAGAAAACAATAGAATAGGGAGGACCAGAGATCTCTTCAAGAAAACTGGAGATATGAAGGGAATGTTTCATGCAAAGATGGGCATGATAAAGGACCAAAATGGCAGGGACCTAACAGAGGCAGAAGAGATTAAGAAGAGGTGGCAAGATTACACAGAAGAACTATACAAGAAAGAGCTTAACGTCCCTGATAACCACGTCCCTGATAACCACGATGGGGTGGTCATTGACAGTATTCCAGCTGAGCTATTCAAATCCTAAAAGACATGCAGTAAAAGTACTACACTCAATATGCCAGCAAATTTGGAAAACTCAGCAGTGGCCACAGGATTGGAAAAAGTCAGTTTACATTTTGATCCCAAAGAAGGGCAATGCCAAAGAATGTTCAAACTACCGCACCATTGCACTCATTTCACATGCTAGCAAAGTTACGCTCAAAATCCTACAAGCTAGGCTCCAGCAGGATGTGGACCAAGAACTACCAGAAGTACAGGCAGGATTTCGAAGAGGCAGGGGAACTAGAGCGCACATTGCCAACATAGGCTGGATCATGGAGAAAGCTAGGGAGTTCCAGAAAAACATCTGCTTCATTGACTATGCTAAAGCCTTTGACTGTGTGGATCACAACAAATTGTGGCAAGTTCTTAAAGAGATGGGAGTACCAGACCATCTTATTTGTCTCTTGAGAAACCTATATGTGGGTCAAGAAGCAACAGTGAGAACTGGACATGGAACCACCGATTGGTTCAAAATTGAGAAAGGAGTTCGGCAAGGCTGTATACTGCCGCCCTGCCTATTTAACTTATATGCAGAGCACATCATGAGAAAGGCAGGGCTAGATGAATCACAAGTTGGAATTAAGATTGCCTGGAGAAATATCAACAACCTCGGATATGCAGATGATACCACTCTCATGGCAGAAAGTGAAGAGGAACTAAAGAGCCTCTTGATGCAGGTGAAGGAGGAGAGTGCAAAAGTTGGCTTGAAACTCAACATCAAGAAAGCTAAGATCATGGCATCTGGTCCTATCACTTCCTGGCAAATAGACAGGAAGAAATGGAAGTAGTGACAGATTTTATTTTCTGGGCTCCAAGATCACCGCAGACGGGGACTGCAGCCAATAAATTAAAAGACGCTTGCTCCTGGGGAGGCAAGCTATGGCAAATCTAGACAGCATACTAAAAAGCAGAGACATCACCCTGCCAACAAAAGTGCGTACAGTCAAGGCTATGGTTTTCCCAGTTGCAGTGTATGACTGTGAAAGTTGGACCATAAGGAAGGCTGAGCGCTGAAGGATTGAGGCCTCTGAATTGTGGTGCTGGAGAAGACTCCTGCAAGTCCCCTGGATTGCAAGGCAATCAAACTGGTCAGTCCTAGAGGAGATCAACCCTGACTGCTCTCTAGAAGGCCAGATACTGAAGATGAAACCCAAATACTTTGGCCACCTAATGAGAAGGAAGGACTCCCTGGAGAAGAGCCTAATGCTGGGAACAGTTGAAGGCAAAAGGAGAAGGGGACGGCAGAGGATGAGGTGGCTGGATGGAATCACTGAAGCAGTTGGCGGGAGCGTGAGTGGACTCCGGGGATGGTGGAGGACAGGAAGGCCTGGAGGAGTGTTGTCCAAGGGGCTGCGATGGGTTGGACATGACTTCGCTACTAACAACATCCACAACAACAACAGGTAAGGCTTTGGGGCCTGCTCACCTGTTCGAAGTCTCTCAGGGTCTGCATCTGTGTGGCACTGCTCTGCTCCAGGCCTCCAGGAGCATGGCTCTCCACGGGGCCCGTCCCCAGGTCGCCGGGAGCCACGGGCTGCGCCGGCACTGTGGAGAAAGCCGCGTCCGTGTCCTCAGCATCCGCAGCAGGGCACCTGTGCCTGGACGGCTTGAGAGGGCCGTGGCGCCCGGTGCCCCAGCAGCCCGGCCAGCAGGCGCCGTGGGTCAGCGCGGGAGACGATGCAGCCAGACCGGGAGCGTTTCTTTCTCGTGGCCAAACGTCATCACAGCTCCAGGCAAAGAATGACCCTGAAAGCTCACACACCGGCACTGGAAAACCGGGCGACACGTGCCTCTTCTCCGGCCAGGCACTCCCCCCATGTGCCAGCAGATGCTGCTCAGGCTGGAGAGGAAGCGCGAGGGCATCTCCTCAAAGCCGCCTCTGTTTCCTCCCACAAAGTGGACCATGGGGATGTCGCAAAGCTGCACGTGGAAAAGGCGATCACACTGTTCACGAGGCTGCAGCCTCTTCCCAAGGAGCAGCATCTCTCCTTGTTCGGAGAAATGCAACCGGGGGGCCATGATAAGGGAATCATATTGAAGGCATGTGCAGTGTGGAGCAAGGAGGGGAAGCAGGTGGATCACGAAACGTTCTGCACTTCAGTTCCCAGAATCCCCAAGCCTTGGTCATGGCAGCAGGGGCAGCTGGGCGCGGAAGTCTGAAAACCTGCGCATGCTTCCTCGTAACACCAGGACCCCAAGTCCTGCAGTGGAACCGAGCCACGGCCGATCCAGCGCTTCGAGTGCGCCGCGCGAGTCGCCTGTGGCATCTGGCTCCACCAGGCGCAGGGGCCACTCTCGGTTCCGAGGCCGGACGGGGCGCGGCACGCGCACGGAGGCAGGCGGCGCTTTTCCAGCGTGGCCGAGGTCCCGTGCTCGGCGGTGGGCTGCCTCCGAGGCATTGCAGGCAGGGCAAGCAGCTGGGGGTGGGGGGGGATGGCTGCCATCCAGCAACCGCGGGATTACTTTGGGGCCCCCCCGCTGGGAACCTGCCCGGTGGACGCTCCATCTCAACCGGGTGGCGCTTGGCACGCCTTGAGGGGCGAGGGGTCCTCAGCCTGAAATGGCTCGTGCAGAGAGCTTTCCAAGCCCCCAGCTCCTTTGTGGAGCCCTTTCCACTCCCCTTCCAGCAGGGGAGGGAAGCGCAGGGGCTGCGACGGATCCCCCGGGGGCACAAGGCTGCCGTGCTGCCCATCACTGGAAGCCTGGCAGCCCCGCAGGTGGCGCCTGCAGGCTCCTTGCACCGAGGAAGCCGGAGCCCCGCGAGCACGGAGCGCCGCTCCCCACGCAGCACCCTTACCCGTCGTCGGAGGCCCCGTCCTCGGAACCATCCCGTCCTCGGTCTTCTTCCTGAGCAGAAGAAAGCATCGGCGAATTAAAGCTGGCGGACGCTTCTGCCTGCAGCGCGCCCCTCCTCCTCACGGGGATGCTCCTCCAAAGCTGCCCACGTTGCTCCGAAGTGCCCCCTGCAGGCAAGCCCTTGACCCACCTCCTTCCACTCTGGTGCTGCCACCAGCACTTTGTCCGGCTTTGTCTCAAGGCCTGCAGCAGAGCCGGCTCAGGTCACCCATGGGTGCTCCGTGCTCCGGATGCCGTTTCCCCCTCTCCAGGGGGCATCCTGGGTAGCCGCTGGTGCCCCGCTCCCCAGCTCCAGGCTCCCCCGCCCACGCAAGGACACCTCGGCTGCAGCCCCGAGCCTGGGCTTGGCACGTTCTCTAGCTGGCGGAAAGAGTGCTCTGAGCAGCGAGCAAAGCGGTCACCCCCCGGCGTGGGAAAGGGAGAAGTGGCCCCTGAATTCTGGGGCTGGGCTGCGGGAAAGCGTTGCCCCGAACTGTCCAGGGGGCTTCAGCTATGGGGCAGTGTAGAGCAGCAATGCAAAGCCTGTGACCGCGGCCACCTCCTCCTCAAGCACGCCCACTTTAATTTTTGTGATTTAAAAAAAAATGACAGAACGGATTAACTTTATTTACATTGAACCTTATGGGGAAATTTGCTTCGATGTACAGGTGCTTTGGATTACAAGCATGTTTCCGGAACAAATTATGCTCGCAATCCAAGGTTTTCCTGTAATTCAATTTAAATCAAATAATAAGCAGCTCCGACTGCACCAGAGATGGACATACCAGAGTCTCCAGCTGCCCCATGTTGGTGCCACAGAGCGCCTTCCAGCGCCGCAGCAGACCGGGTGGGCATCCTGGGAAGACGCCCCGCGTGGCTCCTCGCTGGGGGCAGGCTTTGCGGGCTTCCCAGGGACGCCTCTGAGCTGAGCGAGGGAGTTGGCCCTCTGGCCCTGCCCTGGGGCCAGAGCAGGGAGGCCTCAGGCAAGGGCTCCCGGAGCCCAGCCCCAGCCCAGGGAAGCCGCGGCTCTCTGGGGCCTCTCCCCGGCTGCTGCATGACGGTCCAGACCGGTGCCCTCCAATACAACTGGGGGCTGGTTGTGGGCCACAAAAGGGCCTGCGCAGGAGGGGTCGCTGCTCCACCCCGCCCGTTCCGCAAACGGCGCCCGTCAGGAGCCTCTCCGGTCCCGCCTCTGCCCAGCGCCTCCCTGCCGGGGGATCCCCAGACCCTGCCCCTGAGGCAGCGTGCAGCTGGCCAGGCGGGCCGTTTGGACACCCCTCCCAGGCACGGCCCCTCCAGCAGCACCTTCGCGGAGACAGGAGTCGGTGAGCCCTCCTGGCCCAGGTTCGCCTTCCGTAGGGAACGCCTTCCCAGGATGTCCTACAAGAGCAGGGTTGGACCCGAGGGCCTTCATGCCCCTTCCAGCTCTCCTGTTCTGCGAGAAAGCACTTTCTGTGGGGCCCAGTTGCCAGATGCAAGTTGGCATCTGTGGGTCAGAAGGCCGCCACCGTCCAAGCCACGGGGAACCCCCGACAATGCTCCTTCCGCAAGGTGCTGGAGGGCCCCGGCAAGTCCTGCCCAGCACCCGCTCTGCCCCCCTCGGCCACCTCTGCGGTCCCACTCGCTCACCCGGCTCTTCCTGCAGCCGCCGCCCACCCCCGGCAGGGGCTGCTTGCCATGCCCGCGGCTCAGCTGGGCAGCGGTCGGCCTGTGGGGAGGGGCGGCTGGCCCCATAAGAGGAGGCCGCTTATCCGTGGCACTGCAGGGTGGCTGGAGTTGGGGGTGGGAGGCGCAGGGACAACCAGCCAGGCAGCTGCGGGGGCAGAGCCCACTAAACGAGGGGCAGGGCTGGCTAGCTGCCATGGTGGAGGGGAACTGAGGCCCTGGGGGGCACGGCCTGGACTCGCACCGGGAGCTTCCGCAGCCTGAGCCCATCGAGCGCAGCGGCCTCCGGGAAGGGAGAGCATCCGCGGCAGTCAGGGACCGAACAGGCCCCCTGGACAGACGGTGCCTCCTGGAGGCCTCGCCTTGCTGGTGCCGAGCGGGTGGGAAGGTGAGGCTTCCGCCTAGATCCAGCACTGATCGAGGGATCGGCGGGAAAGGGAAGGCTCTGCGGGGTGGTGCAGCGGTGCCTGGAGCCAGCGTGACTCTTCCGGAAGGGCAGTGAAGGTCATCTCTCTCTGGGGTGACTCAGCTCCGGGACACCACCAGCTCCCATGTGAAAGGCCTCCGAGCCGAGCCTTGTTCTGTGCGTTCTGCGTTCGCTACGAAGCCCAGAACGGACTGCCAGCTCCAGAGCATTCGCCCTCCTGCCCAGGCCATCTCCTGGGCTACTCCCCCACGGCTGCCATTCCCCCCCCCACACCCCTGCAACTCCAGTGTCCAAGCGGGGGACCCCGAGGCCCATCTTCGTGCTGGCCGTTGGCCCCGCAAAGAGGCATCGCAGCCTCCTCCCATGGGCAGCGCATGGACAAGCAGCCGCCCGGCGAGGGCCACGGCCGTGACGCAGAGCGCCCGGGGCTGGGCGGCATCCGCAAGTGCTTGCTCCCGCTGGAAAGGGCCGGCACACCCCGTGCACCCCTGAACCTCCCGGGCTCCTCGGTCTGTGAGGGATTCATCAGTTCATTCACCAGTCGCTGCCACGACACGCATGCGAGCCAGACCAACGGACTGCTGTTTCTGGCTCCCCCCTGCATTCCTGTGCTATCTGATCCCTTTGTAAGAAGCTTCGGACCCAAATACAAAATGCAGGCCTAGATCCCGTAAGAAACCAGAACAGAGTCGAGCCACCGCAGAAATAGTGCTGGCAGGCCAAGCGTGGCCCGCTGCACGTTGACTGTAGGGCGCGGGGGGCATCGCGGAGCTCTGGCGACAGAGCCGGGGGGGGTCCTCCGAAGGGGGCACCCTCCTTGCCCATCTGGCGAGCCTCGTGGCCGGGGAAGCCGGTCGGTCTGGCTGCACGGTGCCACCTGGGTAGGGCTGGCACTCGGCTGTTGATGCGAGGCAGGTCAGCCTCCGCAGCCTCCAAGCCCCAGCCCTCTGCTGAGCACGCGGCCCCTGCACCGACCGACCACCAGCCGGCACCCTGCCCCCCCTCCCCAGGGCACGGCCTGGTTTTCCGCAGGGCCAGGGCTCTTCTATGAAGCACAAGGGGGAACGGAAGCGCCGACGGGGCGCGGCTGGAGCCAGAGAAGGGGCCACGGCTCCCTCCCTCCGGGCCTTTCCCCACTGCTGGGCAATTGCTCCTCCCCAGCCCTTGCCCGGCACCAAAGCAAAGTCAAAATCTGCGAACAGCATTGTACAAAAACACACAGAATGTTTGCAGAAGACAACTAGTACTAAAACGCAACGCTCAAAATACTACCATAACTCCGTATAAACAAGCTTCAATTAAGTGCTTAAGAAAATACCAGTTTGGTGAATAAGGACTATAAAACCCACAACTGGTGTGCCAACAGGCAACACAGCCGAGCCAGGCTGCATCCAGAACATACGGTACGGCCCCACCTGAGCCGCCTGTGGCCCGAGCGGCGCTGCTCGGGGGGAGGCCGCGGCGGCAGCAGCAAAGCCGGAGGAGCGCGAGCACAGCCCTCTGGGCGCCGCGCCGCCGCCCCCTCGCCCGCCGGGGGCTCACGCCGCCGAGGCGGGCGCCCCTCCCCGTGCCCTGCGGGCGCCCCGTCCCCTCCGGCCGCGGCGCCGCTTCCCAGTCAGGCGCCCGGGATGCGCTTCGCCGGCTCGGCGAGAGGCCCGCGGGTGTGTGAGTCACGCTCAGGCGAGTCCGCGCGCGAAGCAGCTGATCTCCTCGGAGGCAACGGGGAGCCGCGCGGGCGGGCGGGCGGGCGGGCGGGAAGGCGCGGGCGGCAGCGGCCGGGGGCTTGCGGCTTTGCGGCTGCCGGGCTCCGGCTCCGGCTCCGGCTCGGCCTCTCCGCGCTGCGCTTCCCCCACCAGGCGCCACCATCCGGGGCAGCGGCCCGCCCGCAGAGACAGGCTGTGCCAGCCGCACGGAGGGGCCGGCGCGCTCCGCGGGCGCTGCCCCGCGGCCGTCGGGCAGGCGGGGGCTTTACGGGCGAGGCCGCCCAGAGAGGGCGACGGGCGCAAGGCGGGGACCGGGCAGGCCCTGAGGCAGCAGGCGCGGGGGCGCCGAGGGGAAGCCGCCCGCACAGGCTGCTCCCGCTTCGCTCAGGGGAGACGCCCGCACCCCCTACCGCTTCCGCGCCCCCAGAAGGGCTTCTCGCTGCCGGCTGCTGGCAAGCAGGAGACCGAGACCGGGACCTCGCAAAGAGCGCTCCCCTCGCTGAGCTGGCGACCTCCGCCAAAGAGCAGGCAAGCAGCTGTCCCCGTCAGCAGCAGAGGCGCATCTTCGGAGCACCCGGCGAGGAGTCACAAGCCCCCCAACGACCGTCCAGCCGGCTCGGGATCCGCTGCCGGGCAGGGCCCCCGGCACAAGCGGGGCTTCTGTCCGGGGAGCGCAGGCTCCGAATTAAAGGGCTCCCCTGCCCGCGCGGCGCAACAGCTGTGCGCTCAGGCATTCCGGACTGCGCTATTCTCGGCCGCAGCTGCAGCCGTGAGCCCTGCGGTCTGGACCGGAGCAGGCGGAATCCTGCACTGGCCGAGGACGGACCGTGACACCAGATGCTCAGGAACAGCAGGCAGGGGGCCCAAGCGCGCAGCCACCGAACTGGCCTCCGGCAGGTTTCCCAGAAGCAGTTTTCCGGGCAGAAGGTAGGGCTGCAGGAACCGCGGAGGGGGATCTTCACACTCTTCCCCTCCCAGCCGTTTCTCCGCTGAGCAGAGCTTTTGTCCCAAGCCACGCTCCCTCCTCACTGGGATGCAAAGCAGGCTGGAAAGGGGCTGGCAGGAGGGAGGGCAGAGGGCTGGGAGGGACCGGGTGGAGCCGCCTTCCCCGCAGGGCTGCTTGCTCACCCTGTCAAAAGGTCACCTTGGACTGGATCCGAGCATCTCACAAAACTTTTCACGTGGCCTGTCCAGAGAGAGACCTGGCTTGTTCCCATGATGCAGGAAAACTGCATGGAGGAACGAGCTTTTTACGCATTTTGGTTTCATTAACGATGGAAGACCCCTGCAGTCTTCAGCCCCCCAAGTCAGGGATGAAGGCCTCAGCACCATCAGGCACTCCTGAAAGGGATGTGCGTCTGGATGCTTCCGAACCCATTCCCGCAGTTTCAGCTGCCGCGTCTAACCCTTTCAGTTGCAGAAGAGGAAGCGGCACACGCAGGCCCTGCCTGAAGCCTCGGCTTTAGTGCAAGGGAAAGGAAGCCTGCTCTGGTCCCGGTGGTGAAGGCATTCGCCGGATGGCACAGGGCCGCCCCACTCGGCTCTTCCAGGGCAGCCTGGAGGAGCACTTGGGCCCACGCAGCGCGTGACAGTGGCAGGTCCTCCTCCGCACCTGGAAGGGCCATCCCTGCGGCGGAGGGAGGCAGCCGCCTCGCGGAGAGGGCCTGGCACGCTCCCGCTCAGCAGGACGCCCACTGCCCCGCCAGGGTGTGGGGCCCTCGCCCTTCTAGTGTGGCCTGGCACTGGACCGCCGGGCAGCAGTGCAAAGGAGAGCAGGCCGGGCACCACGCCGACCCCCGGGTCCCGCCACCATTCCCCAAAGCAGGAGGGCAAAGCCAGCGCCGCAGCCAGCCCTGCACCCCCATCCCTTGGGGCAGGGCAGCTCCGGGCATCGCGCCCAGGAGCTCGGTGTGGGGCCAGCCCGGCAGGCTCAGCTACATCGCCGAATTCCCAGGCAAAGACGTGCAGGGGGCACACGGGTGGCCATTAACGGCATCTCCGCGTGACATGCAGGCCTGCACCGATCCCGATGGCCACTACCCAACAAGGGCCCCCCCCAAAAAAGATGCGGGTTCAGTGAGCTGCTGCCTGCGGGTTGCGGTTCAGTGAGGCCGAGCCCGAGGCCAAGGCAGGCACAAGGAGGGCGCAGGGCGCGCTGAAGAGGTGGTGCACGGGGGGGGGGGGGCCCCCCGGCGAAAGGCCCCCGGGGGAGGCGGCGGAACCATGGGGGGGGGGGGGGGGCAAGGCTACCCGGGCAGCGGCTCCTGCACCAGGAGGCATCTGTGGAACTTCCACTAACTCAGGGAAGAGACAAGCAAGTAGCTCTGAGTCCGCCCATGCGCAGGACGTTTGCCGCTGAGTAACACTGCCCTCCTCCAGAACTTTTGCACTGAAGCAAGAAGGTGCTGCTGCTGCTGCTGCTCCAGGCCGGCCGCATCTGGCATCTCCCGAGTTTCAAGAGATGGTGGTGCTGGGATTCTAGAACAAAAGCATTTACTGATTTGATCTGTTAGTTTCTCAGTATCTTTAATATCTTTGCTTTTAGAATATATTTTAAATCCATTCTGCCTGTCTTTCGCTTACATGTGATCTCACTGTTACTCTTGAATTTTCCCAGGAGATTAATTATTTTAACATAAAACATCTACACTACAACGCTTAGGCTGAGAGTGTTCTAAGCCAAGCAGCATTTGCATTCTGAGGTAATCCTTGCACTTACCAAGGAGTAAGTCTTACTGGCATTCTCAGGGTCGTGACATTGGGACAATTTTGCCCTGCAGAACCCAAAGGGCAGCACCCGAAGGCGCTCCCAGAGGCACCGCACCTGCAAGCTGCTCCTGGCAAAGGAGGCGCCACATTCCCGGGGCATCCCCACCCTCATCCAAAGGGCGAATGTCCGCGCCGTCTTTTTATTAGCTGGGGAAACGACTGACCCAGCCAGAGGCTGCATTTCCTCAGCCTTCTGGCCACCCTCGTGTGTGCAACGCTTTCCGGCTCTTGCACACACAATCCAGCCACTAGAAAGGGCGTCGAAGAGCGGAAGGGCTTTGCTCCTTCGAAATAAACAACTCCAACGGCTACGGACCACCTACGCGTCCTTCTGCAGGGAAAGTCCAGGCGACCAAATTCGGCGAAGTCCGCGCTCCGAAGGCCAGGCCGCCTCGCTCCCCCTTCGCTCTTCCTCCCAGCGGGACGAAGCCGGGCTGCTTCCCCGCACCCGGCGTTCTTCCCGGGGTCATCCGCGCACTTGCAGGAACGGCTGGCCAGCGGCGCCTGAGGGTCTCCGTGAGCTCCGCAGCCGGAGGCGCGACACGCCTGCGGCCTCCAGACCCACGCCGAGGAGCGCTTCGCGGCTCCAGGGCTTCCCGCGCCCGCGGGATTCCGGCTCCCCAGCAAGCTCCCCCCTTCCGTCATTCCTCTTGCCGCAGAGAGTCCGTGGGCGCACCGGCAGCACCGCCACTTCTGCCCGCTCATGCCGGGAGCCCTCCCTCGGGAAGCCCCCCAAGGGCCCGAGGGCCACGGCTGCAAGGCGCGCGCTCGCCGGGAAACGCTCCCGCGGGCAACGGAGCCAAGAGGCAGACAGCATCCCGCCCTCAACCCGGCCTCCTCCCGTTCCTGCGGGAGCCCCGGGCAGGCCCGTTCCGAGCGCACCCCGGCCGCGCGACGCAGCCGGCACCGGCCAGACCACAGCGCGCAAGGAAGCGCCAGCAGTCCCGGCGATGCGCGGCGGCAGGCTCCCGAGCGCGCGCGCAGCCTGCGGGCAGGCTCCCCTCCTCCCAGCGGCCGCCCCCGCCGCGCTTGCCCCGCAGACGCGCACGCCACGCAAGGCGCCCTCGCCAGGCAGCGCGCCCGGGGCCCGCGTCCGAGCCGGCGGCGCCCCGCTCCCCCCGCGCGCACTCCCACATTA